TAATTCCGTCATCACTTCTTTAAGATTCTCCCCCCTGTTCTCTGACATGCCCTGGAAGCGAAGAATCATGTTGGCCTTTTCCATTTGCACTTGCAGCAGTTGATCTTCCATGGAGATTTGTTTCCTTTCCAGTTTTTGTACTTTTTTCTTCACCTTCTGAGTAGTTGCAGCAACTTCCTTTACCTTCTCAGTATCTTGATTCATTATTTGTATCATATAGTTTATCTGGGTTTGCTGTGCAGTAATACTTTGAGTCACTATAGACATCTGTTCCTTGAAGTTATTCAGCTGTTCCAGCAGAGGGCACATATATTCCGCTATAGACTTTGCCACCTCGCTGGTAGCTTCCGGTTTCGGGCTCTCAGACCCTTTCACTTTCAAAAGTTTTTCTCTGTCCTTCTTCCCCGCCATCTTTTTCACTTGTTTACTTTCGCAATTTTTAAAAAAGTCTCTGAATGTGCACTTGACCACTTAGATTCGCTTTTGTAAGTACTTCTAGGCAGTTTCCTTTGCGTTTTCTTTCGCTCCCCCTCTCAATCGCTCAAAAATTCATGTGCATGGGAGGCGTCCCTTCCATGCTCGCCTTTTTCCTGTTCAGTGGGGTGGGGTGGGGAGCTATCTTTTTCCCTTTGAAGAACGCTTCAAAGCTGACTCACGTTCATAATTGGTCGTTCGACCTCGCTTTCAATTTTCATTTCTGCTGCTGGATCTCCCACGCTTGCCCCGATCAGCGTCACTAAATCCATTTAGTCTCACAGCACGGAGAACCATCGGAACGAAGAGGTGCCTCAATTCTCCGGCATTTCGCCCTCAAAGAGGCAACCTCTTGTAAGTTCCATGGCCAGAGTCCCTTTGCTGGGCCCCTGGGGGGGTAAGCGAGCCTGTGCACCCCCTGCTTCGGCTGGAGCGTAGCTTCACCCACAGGAGGTCTGGGAGGTGAGACTGCTAGCGCGCCGCCATAAACCAGAAGTCCCCTCTTATCATCTTTTCTGAAGATCTATAGCTGTCCCACCCTGTCACCATAGTTCCCTCTAAGCTGTGCCAGGGGGTGCTGGCGCACAAACTTTTAACATGCAGCTCAGGGAATTTCTGCTTCAGCCCACAGATACTGCTTCAGTCCATTGGAAACAATGGGCACCTCCTTCTGGAGCCTATAGAATTGGACCCCCTAGACCAATCTTTTTGAAACTTGGGGAGGTTCTTGAGGAGACACGCCAGCAGCTATGCTGCAGATTTGGTGCCTGTAGCTCAAAAAACAGCCCCCCCAGATACCCTCAGATTGATTCTCTATTATAGCCTATGGGGCCCATCCCATTTAGTGTAATCGTCCACATAGGCTACAATAGAGCCGGGGGGGGGAGATTTTTTTTGTACATTCCTATTATGTTTTTCAGTATGATTTGTAAGCTGCCTTGAGTCATGGGGAAAAGTGGGATATAAATATTTTAATAAGCAGTTTTGGCAGGTTGATAACATTTAAGCAACTTCCTGTTTTAGGTTAGACAGGGTTCTGACAGTGATTGTTTCTGAAGAAGTGAGCAGTGCCCCATGAAAACTCATACCCTGCCACATATTTTGTTCATCTTTAAGGTGCTACTGGACTTTTGCTGTTTTCTACTGTTCCTCCTCTGTGTACTGCAAGAGTCCCCCCACCCCGTGCTGGAATGTTTTTTGTGGCTCAGCACAGGGTGATGGTCTGAGGCCAGGTCTACCAATATAGTGGACTGTGGCAGGTAGAGCTGTTCTCTGGAGGCTAGGTCTACTAATATAGTGGAGAGGAGTGAGTAGACCTGTTTTCCAGAGGCCAGGTTTACCAATATAGTGGAAAGGGGTGAGTAGGCCTGTTCTCCAGAGGACAGGTCTACCAGTATAGTGGACTGGGGTGGGTAGACCTGTTCTCCATAGGACAGGTCTACCATTATAGTGGAAAGGGGTGGGTGAGATTTGACTTGATTCTGTTTTCTCTTATAATGTTTAAATTATTCTTAAAATATAGTTTAAATGGGGGGGTGTTGCACAAACAAGATGGATGTCTAAATCTTTAGCACTCCTCTTCCTCACTCTTGATTGTAAAGAATAATGTGACTAATGAGGCTACATCGGAAAAAATCATAAGGAAAATAAAGCTGCAGTGAACACCAAACCATCTGTTGTAAATAATCGCAAAGTTAACTCTTTCTTTGGGCAAAATAAGACTATAAAGAAAACAGAGGACAAACTCCGTGGCGAAAACAAAATGGCAGCAGAACATATGGAAGATTTGGATAGGAGCTTATCTCTTACTAAAATGGACCTAACTGAAATGGAAAATTGTTTATTACACAAGCTGGGGGTATTATTTGAACCTATCCAAGAGCAATTAAATAAAAGCCTCCATTTCTGAAATTAAAAAAATAGCGGAATGTGCCATGATGTTGGCAGAAACGCTTCAAGACAAAAACCACAACACTCAATTGGAAACTGAAAACAAATAAAAATTAAACTGCTCACACTGGAAATGGAAGCACAACAAAATAATATAAAATTTCAAGGATGCCCAGAGCATCTAGAAGAAGCAGCAGATTTGCAAGCTTTTATGGCAAATTGATTGTCAACATTGAACCTGGAGGAGGATGTGGTTCCAATAATCATAAAAGCTTATCACCTCTGTTCACCGTGAAATACAAACAGAAAAGAACCCAGAGACATTGTTATATCATTCTTAATTACAGAGTTAAAAAAAGAAAATAATGATGGAAACCAGGCTGAGATGCACCTTTACTTTTTTTTTAAGTTTTAAAGATTTTATTGGAAACAAAAGTAAGAATCAGAATAACAGGGCATAATTAATGTCAAAAATACATATTTCATATTAACAGATAAGTCACAAACAAATTTTCAATAGCAACAACCATGTAGTCAGAAAGTATAATGCAGCTATAATACCTCTTACCAAGTCATTTATCAACCACAAAAGTATTATTTTTGACTGATTTAGACCTAAAATTAATTGGTATCAGGAATCTGTAGCTCTGATCACCAAAAGGGGTCCCAACAGAAAGACAAGGCAAAGGGTGTGATCAAAAGTGGATCCAAATGCGGTAACTTAGCTTGGATGGAAGCAGGTCTTGTTCCGCCATAAAACAGAGCACCAGGTAGCAGGTAAGTACAAACTTGTCGTAGATCTTAGTAGAGGTGTTCTGAATTCGATCCATCGTAGTAAAAATTTTATTCATCACAAATTGTTCCCAGAAGGTATCTGCTTTAGCTAGTCGTTCCGTCAAGTTCTTCAATTGCAGATAGTGGAACCAGGGAATTTGTGTTCCAATCCGTTCTTCAAAATAAAGTTTGTCTCGTATTTGTCCCTGTTCAACTAGATCCTGAAGACGTGATAGATCAGCTTCAATTCAATCCCGGAAATCTCCTGAATCTGTGCCTGGGGGGAACCAAGGCTGATGGTGGTAAGGATGGAGGTATACAATTTGTAATCCGTGTTGAGTAAGGATATTGGGCAATAAGCCCTAGGGTCCGTGGTGTCTTTATCCTTTTTTGGCAGTAAGATCACATTTGCAGCCATCCAGGATTCCAGCAGTCGTCCCTCTGTTAATACCTGATTGAAGGTATTCACTAGCGGTTGTGTTATGACTGATGCAAGGGCTTTATAGTATTCAGGTTGAAACCCATCAGGGCCAGGAGCTTTGTTGATTTTGAGAGCTTTAATTGCTGACTCGATTTCTTCTGCGGTTATAGGTGAATCAAGGAGCATTTGGTGTTCTTCAGTAATCGTTCGGATCGAAGATTGTGTTTTTAGAAAGTCCTCTATTTTCGTCTGAGAGGGAGATGTAGAAGTATATAACGTAGTGTAGAAGGCCTCCATTGTTTTAAGGATTTTCTCTGTTGAACAGTGAAGGTTGCCTTTTGTGTCTCTGATGTTATTAATCCATCTATCTGATCTCTGCTTTTTCAGTCTCCATGATAAGTATTGAAGATTTTTAGGGCCCTTGCTTGAATAATTTTGTTTATATGCTAAATTAAGCTGTGTTATGAGGTTGGTCTCCATGAGCTCTAATTGCTTCCTCAGGTCCAAGAGTCTTTTGTAGAGTTTGCTGTTACAAGTCTTTTTATGTTATATTTATAGATGCTAATAATTGTGTTTTTTTCTTCATTTTCTCTCTTCTACAGACTGCAGACAAGGCTATAGACTTTCTTCGTAACACTGCTTTGGAGGCTTCCCAAACTGTGAAATTGGAACCCCACAGTTCTGATTGAATTGAAAATATTCTATTAGCGTGTGCTAGAGTTCCTGTAATGCTGATTTTTCTCACAATAAATCCTTATTAAAAAACCACTGACATCTCTGTTTAGATGTTTTACCTAGATTAATTGTACAGTTGATTGGGGCATGGTCAGACCATCGAATAATGCCAATTTCAGATGATTTACAGAGAGGAAGGGTTGCCTTTGACGTCAGGATGTAATCCAGTCTTAAGTAGGCGTTGTGTGTGGCAGAGTAATATGAATAATCCCTTTCATTGCCATGTTGAGTTCTTCAAACATCACTGAAGTCCAGAGAATCTAATATTTGTTGCAATGGATTTGGCTTATCCTCACGTTGTGGTTTAGGTTAGGGTGATGATTTGTCTAGCTTTTTATTTAGCAGATAATTGAGGTCCCCTACAACTATTTACAAGATAATTGAGGTCCCCTCCAACTATGATGTGGCCCTTACTAAATTAATGGAGCTTGTTGAGTGTGGACCTTAGAAAGTCTGGCCTGTATTTGGTGCATAAATTGATGCCAACATGGCTGAACATCCTTGTAAACTTCCTCTCAAGAAGATAAATCGACCTTCAGTGTCTTTCTCTATCGCCTCTTGGATGAAATGGATATTTTTAGCCATTAAGATTGCAACCCCACAAGATTTAGGAGTGCTGTGAGCAAGGTACTGTGTGGTAAACCAGTTTGAATTTAGGGCTTTAAAACCTTTTTAAATATATGTTTCTTGCAGGAGTGCTATACTGGTTCTCTGATTTTTAAGATCAGTGGCTACACATTTTGCTTTAATTTTGTTATTTAGACCTCTGCAGTTAAGAGAGGTGATTTTGAGTTCCAGAGCTGTCATTGTTTATATATATAGACACTTAACCTGATTTTACTTGTGGTCATATTCCAATTGACCAGTTTTTTCAAGTGACCATGCAAAGTCCCTTTGGACCTAACTTTGGCCTTAAATAAAGTAAACTCAAGGGGCTTTTGGTAATAGTACCTGCATTGCATTTTATAGAGCAACCGATATAAAAATAGCATTGAGCTGTCAGAGTTAAACAATTGAGCCTGCACAAGTGCAGGGTATTTCTATCATACTGTACTATATAAACCATCAATAACGAAAAAACATTATCCCCATTACCCTCCCTGTCCACCCACATTTCCCTTGCTACCCTCCCCCCTCCCCAAATGACCCAATTATTAAGTACTTCCTCCACTCTACATTGTAATTATGATTCGACGGTAAGCTTGGATATTCATGGTAAAAAAAAACAAAGACCTTTTGTGTGTGATAGACTCACAAGGAGCCAACCTTGCTCCTTCCTTAGGTCTAAAAAAAGTAGAATAAACATAAACCAGGCCCTCAGGCCAACTGCCTTGAACTGAGGCTTCATGACCGAGTAAGAACTCCCCCACCACTACCGTAGCTTAACCAGTGATATTAAAGTTAAAGAAACAGTGCAATTATATTACAATTAACCTTTCGGAACATTCAGTAAGACAACTTATCTAGATTCAACAGTTATGATTTACAGAGACATTCTGTGCCTTGTAGGGGTTTTGCTCCATTTCTTTGGTGTTCCCGATGTTTCGTGTTTTCTTTTATTAGTTTGGGATGTGTCCATATCTTGAGCTGGTTCCAGACCCACTGCTCTTAATAGCGCTGCTCCAGAGTCGAGGTCATCTGCAGTGTAGGTGGATCCACGAAATCTCACTTGCAGGTAACCTGTTGTCAGCCATCTGTATTTTAAATTTGCTTCAGTTAGGCTTTTGGTTATCGGTTTAAGTGTTCTTCGAATTAATAGAGCCTCTGGGGCAGTATCAGAGAAGATTTGAATCTCTGCTTGGTTATGTTTAAAGCTGCCAGATTTCTTGGCTTCACTTAATATTAGGTTTTTCACTCTGATGTTGAGTAATTCTGCGAGTATGTCTCTGGGGCCTCTTCGATGCTCTGAGATTGGCGGGCCCATTCTGTATGCTCTAATCACCATTGGAGCCAGATCATCATCAAATTTTATAATGGAGGTTAGCCACGTCGATATAAATGAGGATGTCCATATTACCTTCAACTTTCTCCTCAAAGCCCCTAAATTTAAGAAAACATTCTTTTGCGCGATGTTCCAGTACCAGGATGCTCTCTCGCCCAGGTTTCACATTTCTGCAGGCCTTGAATACTCTCCTGATTTGTTAATGCTGTCTCCTTGGCTGTTTCCATGGCTTGCGAGACCTTTTGTATTGATTTGTGTACCGATTCTAGCCGATCAGACATGGGCTTCAGGATCTCATTGATGTTCGCCATCATCTCCATTTTAAAGCAGTTGAGTGTGTCAATAAATTCTTGTTTTGTTAGTGCTTTCTGGTGCTCACGATTAGTAGCGGATCTGGCGGCCATTTTAGCATCAGGGGCTCAATTCCCGCGCTGAGGTTCTTGTGCTGATTCTGTGTTGAAGAAGGTATTGAGACGCTTTGGAGTGAGAGCTCCCGATTTGCTGCTATGTCCCCCGATTTTTCCTATACCAATGGGACCAGCACTGTTAATTTTGCTTGGCAATTAAGGCAGGAAGGGAAAAGGTAGGTTGGAGCTCCGTCAAATAGCGCCCGCCATCTTACGCCCCGATGCCCCGCCCTGCCACTTGGGTTTTTAGTGGTTTCTTTTCTGTCTCCTGTAGTTTGTACTGTACCCATATCCTATGATTTTTTTGTAGTTTTTAGAATAAAAGCAATTTAAAAATTACAAAAAATAATAATAGTAAAATCCTTGTTCCTTCACTTTCATATAATGCTAGTAAATGACTCTTTTATTTTTAATCTGTCTCTAAGTTGCTTATAAAAATCTATTCTGTCTTGTACTATAAATATAGAGGTTATATGTTAGATTTATAAAGGATAGAAATACTAAAAACAAAAAAAATTGTGGGGGGGAGGACATATTTGTTTTCTTTAATTGTACTAAGACCTCACTGTATATTAAGCCCGGGAATTGGGTGGTAGATTTTTCTACTTTCTTGTGAATTAACAGGAACCTAAAGAGTTTTGCTCATTTTAATATAATTTAGAATTCTTTTTCAGTGCTGATATACAAATAGATTTATAAGGTAGATAGGTTTAGAAAAATAATTATTGTTACCATTTTAGGATATTAGAATAGATTTATAAGATAGTTATAGAAAAGATAGTATTTATAGTGTTCAAAGATAAATAGTTTGAGAATTATTGTTACTGTTACCATTTTAGTTTATTATGATAGGAAACTAGAAAAAATGTTAAATTGTTAATTGTACTTTAATCTCAGGTATTTCTGCTTTTATTTATCTGTTTTACTTTGGGTTTTTTAATCTCTTTTTAATTGTAACTCAACTTAGAAGTGTTATAAGACTTAATATATAAATCAGTTTACATAAGTACTCTATTAACAAATATTTGTCATGTCTCAGAATATCAAAATAATCTTGCTTAACACAACAGGTCTTAATAGTTTAATAAAACACAAGACAGTATACTCAATTTAATCAATGTACACCCTGATATTCTCTTACTAGAAGAAGAGGAGAGGAGAGAAGAGATTGGATTTATACCCCGCCCTTCACTATCCAAAGGTGTCTCAGAGCAGCTTACAAACTCCTTTCCCTTCCCCTCCCCACAACAGACACACTGTGAGGTAGGTGGGGCTGAGAGAGCTCTGACAGGAACTGCTCTTTTTTCAAGAACAGCTCTTATCAGAACTATGGCTTGCCCAAGTTCATCCAGCCAGGTGCAAGTGGAGGAGTGGGGAATCAAACCTGGTTCTCCCAGATTAGAGTCCGCGCACTTAACCACTATACCAAACTGGCTACAAGAGACACATCTTAGATCCCCAACTAAATTGATTTTTAAGATTAATTAGTTTCAGCATCAGATAGTTGCATATGGAAACTCAAAATCTAGAGGTGTGGTGTTTTTATTATTTAAAATATTTGATTTACTCATCTAGACTCCCTAAAGGTCCCACAAGGAAGATTCATTTTTGTTAAATGATTACTATAGAACCAAGTAGTGACTATTAGATTAATATATGCACCTACACTAAAATTATGGCACACTAAACTATGGAATTTATATATTAACGGATATGTTAATACCAGTAGATATTGATACTAAATATAGCAAATTTACAATTCTATGGTTCCCAATCTTATCATATCTTGTAACTCAAATTAAAATACCAAATGTAATAGATATACTTAACTTATGGTAACTAATTTCGATTTATGACTATAACCTTGTAAAACACTACCGGTTAAATCTTTGAATATGTACAATATATAGTTTAAAGATAAGTTAAAATAATTTATTTTGAGATTTTTACAAGGTTATGGAAGTAATCGTCTAAAA